GGTTGCTTATGCGTTCATCTTTAAGGAAGTTCGACGAAATTCTCGACGCATTTCCGCAATCGAGTGCAGTGGGACTCAGTGTTCAAAGAATAAGCTTAAAAGGGAAATGAAAGCTGCGAAAACTCTAGCTGTTGTTGTCGGTGTGTTTTTTATTACGTGGACGCCTTATTTCGTAGTCACCACTATACGCGCTTTTCAAGGAGACAGGACTATCCCAGACGCTGTCCAGCGAACAGTAATTACTTTAGCCTATGGTAATTCCTGTTGCAATTTTGTTATTTACGCACTCATGAACTCTCAACTAAGGAACGCTTTTAATCAAATTCTGAGAAGTTGTATTCGGCATAAACAGTCTGATTTCAATTCCACACAATCCTTGAATATGACCGCAGTTGTTAAAACAACCGAGCGTGCCACTTTTACCGATAAAGCGAATCGATATCACAAAGACACTTCAGAAAAGAATTGTTAAAAAAGTTGATAGCCTTTTAGAGCAGTTCCTCTTAAGTATTTTCTTTTTTTTAATAACACTCCCATATAGTTAAAGCTTCGTTTTGATTGTGTTTGAATCCCCCCAAAATACATTTTAAAATAGACTGTCTGCTCAGTTTTTTGCAATCGTTAACCTGATGTTTTTCTGCTCCATCAATAACTCTAGACTGCCAACAGGTGCACGGTAAAAAATTGTAGCAAGATTATCGTCTTTTCAATTATCACAACATCTAATAACAGTCAAAGGCTTTAGCTAAATTATTAACAGATTTTAGTAATTTACTCCATTCGTATTGTATCTTACAACAGTCTGGCCAATACTTTCATCCTCTTATCCTGAAGGAAATGTCATCAAATATCAATTAAACAGTTCATAATAACTAAGCGGTTTTCAAGTCAGTGTCAAAAAGAAGAACAATAAAGTCCGAGAAATAATTACTGTTGCTAATTTAATGAAAAGCCCACGCAGGGTCTAATGAACCAATGAAAACTTCAAGTGAAGTTATGAGCTTGTGTTAAAAATAAACACAAAGAAATGCTTTGGAGAGAAAGAGAGTCATGATTGTAATGGAAATGTAAAAAATGTGATAAGTTTTCCTTCAAAAAACCTTGATTTTAGACTCGATTACCATGCAGCCGCTTTTCGGTAAAATGAGGCCACACGTATCTTTCTGGTGATTGTATAACCAACCAAATTGTCTAAATCACGGCCATTCGATTTAATTAACATTCACATCCCCCTGTTGACGAAATTTTCGATATATTTAAATTCATACTCGGCTCCCAGGCTTGGGGGAATAAAAAAATAGAAATATATTATTCATTGCTGAGCCTCAAGGTGATTTCTTTTGTTTCATTCCGCCAAGCATCGCTGCCAAGTATGAATTTTAATGTATCAGAATTGGTCTATTTCTGAAGGTTGTAGGACCGAAGACCAGATTTCCTGGGGGGAGTAACAGAAAAGCAAAAATTTCTGGAGGTTGTTAGACTGCGGGCCAGATTTTCTGAGGGTACCAGGAGAAAAGCAATTTTTTTCTTTTACAAAGCTATTAGACTCAGAAGGGAAATTTTCTGAGGGGATAAATGTTCATCAATGAATTTTTCTGAGGCTTTGGCGGAAAAAAGAGCATTCCTTAGGGTTAGTAAAATTTCAATGTCCTTTGTCAACGGGGATGTGTATCTTATGGAATGGCCCTCACCTCGTGTCCTGACGGCTTTGGACAATAGAGACGGCTCGGACGATTCTTTGGAATCAGCCCATTGAATTCATTTCCATTGCTGCCACCCCAGCCTACCCGATAGTCCAATATGGTGGCCGCAGGAATTTAGAGAAAGAAGCCGCCATATTGGAAAACGAGAAGACCCTGGAGACGAGGTTGGTGTTTCCATATGCCTTTGATCGTCTCGAACGCCGGCCTGAGAATCTTCTGAGGACATCAGAAAGATAACATGAAAACTAAGCTTAAGAAACAATCAAGAACAGGGGTGGCTTATCACTCCTCGGATTTTGTGAGAACTTTGCCAGATGCATGAAGTTACGGACACAATGACGAGTTTATTGTAGTTTTAAATACATTATGTATTATGAAAGCGCTTTGTATATCAATGTTGTGTTTCAAGATCAATATTAAATTCTTCTTTACTTTGAGTATCGATTCGATGAGAATCACTGACATTGATTGCACTAGTGACAACGTATTTCCTTTCTGGAATTACTATGTTAAACCGGTATGTTTTTTAATCAAACCTTTTCATGGCGGCCATTAGCCGTGACGCTACTAATTTTCATCGTTTTGTACAATTCAGTAGGCCGCTGCTAAAGTCGTGTATCTGTCGACAACAAGCTCTCTCTTAATAAAAATTTATATATAACGGATACCTAGTAAGTTTAATAGGTGTCTGCCATGTTATTAAGGCTTTTGCTTTGACCTTCTATAAGACGGACACCTCTCTAAGGGACCGGTCATTATTTATCGCCTGGGGGGGGGGGGGGGGGGGGGGGGGGTTTT